TATAATCAATAATCTATGCTCGAAACGCCATGAAGTAAGTAATGCAGCATCAATGTGTGCTGTATATCAAATAAACAAATCTACTATGGAATAGCATTCTGCCACAGTACCAAAGTGGAACACTTATAACAAAGGACGATGACGAAATAATAATGATATTTTAAAGCCACCTTTGTTGTTCAAATGCGACAAAAAATGAAAACAAAAGATTTCAGGAAAGAAAAGCTTCGCTTGAATAAAAAAAGAGCATCTAAACTTTCGTATAGGTTGAGGTTCAATAAAAGTAAGTATATGGCTTTAGTATTCTCTGTATAATGGTTAAGTGGCTGCTTTTAGGCCAATCCTATGACTCTAGAAACTCCATGTGACCTAAATCTATGGGATAATCTTAAAAGCTAAGATGTTATATCAAAATTAGAATTATTAGTTAGATATATTAAATCCTTTAGGTGAATGATTTAACTTTCGAAACACAGAATCATGTGAACAGCATAAATCGTTTACTCTTCTCCGTTGAACCATAGTAACCTAAATAAACATATTTGATTATTCAGTTAAAAATCTTCTAGAAAATATACAGTCGAAATACATTTCAATGTACTTTTTACTTTCAGTTAACTGGAATATGTCTTTATAGACGTCTGCTTCTCACTAGGATTCATATAATTTCTTGTTTTTATTTATGAAATAGTGCAAATATGTATACCTTAATAACTGATGACTTGAAATTCCAATTCTGTTTCAAACACTGTAGTCTGTGTTACTGTTGTTGACCGTCAGTTAGTCGTTTAATTTTATACATTTTAATGACTGTTACTGTTTCCTGGAACCTTCAAAATTATACTCATTTTAAATGAACTCTTAATATTACAGACGTGTTTTAACTGTCAACAATATGAAAAGCTAAAAATAAAACTGAAAGATCCAGCAACTAAGTGAAACTCCATGACGGCTAAGCTTGAAATATTTCTCTACATTAGGTGTGCCACTTATATTTTAACTTAGAATTAACCAAAATTAGATCTAGTATGTACACTTCATTCTGTTCAGAATTCGTCAACTGACTGACTACCACTTGTTGGTGGGTTTTTTTAAACACCGATAGTGAACCAGGTACGTCCAGCTACTGATTCCAAAGCAGGACTGACTATGTGTCAAGTTTTATTTCTGTTAACTGTAAAAGGTAAACAAAGTGTAAGCAGAGGAAACATCAGAGCATAGACGGTATGAACTCGAACTCTAGTCGGAGTCGACCAATGCAGTCCTATTAATAAACAAGGTAAAACTGTAATATTAATTAAGCGATCTATTCAGATTTATTTTCCTAGACTTACAGCCAATACTAAGTCGAAGTAGTGTTCTCAAATTCGCCTAATATTAGTCATGTACCAGTCGTCACTCAGTGGATAATCACTATACTGAGATTCATTTTGATTGAATGTCAAGTTCAGCTATAAAGGCGGATAAATTGAAGTACTGGAATTCATTGATTCTATGTGGGATAAAAGAAAATGTAGTAGAAGTTGAAATAGAAACTACCAGACAATACTCAAGTTTCGAATGATATTACGCAACTTTCAATGATAAGTGAGTTAATTTTAACACCTATAATGCCCATGTATTTTGTCTGTTAGCTTATCAACAACAACTACCAAAAATATCATATGGCTGATAAGCAGCCTCAAAGCGTTAACAGGTATTTATATTTCGTCCCAAAAATGCTTCCTTTGAATTTTACTTTTCCATGACTGTGTCGTTCAGCAGTTTTTGTTTAATTTAATTAAATGGTTAATTAAAAAGTGTTTATTTCGAGGCGGTTTTGCTCAGTGACTCAACGTCGACCAAAGAATTACGAAAACAAGGAGCACTTGATCGTGGTTACATCTTAATTTGGAACTCATCAATAAGAATTACTCATACTCATATAAAATCAGACCCCAAACCATCAAATTTTTTGACATGCACATTACATTTTGGCATTTCAGCTAAAAAGTGGTCCTTCTTATTTTCTGGAAGTGTTGTCCTTAAAGTTGCTATGGAAAGCCATTACCGACAAGCCATTCATGTTGTACAAACTCCCTACTGGTGTATGACACTGGTTATCAATCATGCTGTGTCACGAACTGATGAGAACTGAAGATTGCTACCTCCTGAGTTCTATCTAACACAGTGAGTGAGTGGCAACCTACCACAGCAATTTTTGATGGCCGTTAACTCACTCTAACTTATCGTCATGGACGCTTACTTACGAATAACCTTAATCTAAAAGGTAGCAAGTGCTGATTACTCTCAGTCTCAGTGGTCTTCAAGCTGATATCATGCCCTGGTATGTTTGATCGAAAATTGTCTGTTTAAAGATATCATCGTCCAGTCGATATTTTTTTATCAAACTGATTCGATTATCCAAACATTTTATAAAAATTGATGTTAAAATTGCTTTAGGTTGTAAGTAGGTGATGATAAACCACTAAATAAAATGGATCCAAGGTATTCTGCTAGAGCTGTTGTTCTCGCTCTATTTAAATATATTATATCAAAAGCACTAAAACGTTAACTGTCCTAGTAAACAGGTTTTTCAAAGAAAAGCGTGAACTGATACCTGAATCATGTCGTGTGACATTTGTGCTGTTTCCCGCAGATTAAGAAAATAGCAAAACCAGTAAAGTTTAAAGTCCAGTCTGTGTGTTAACTACTGGAAGGATATGTTAGCTCTACACTATTTAAACCAGGTGCTTACATAGGATTTGTATTAGCAATCACCAGGCTCTTTTGATCACTGTATATAAAACATTGTTATGAAAACGTTGCTATCCTGGTTGTTAGTAAAAGGCCTGATTATATCTCAGTATCTGTCTCGAACTACATTTAAGATGACAAAAAGGGAATGTCATTTTATATGGAGTGCAAACTATGCTTTACTTTTTTTTAGTAAAATATGACAGTATCATAACAACAGTGATCAGCACTGAAGTTGACAATGTGCACAAATATCCGTTTGTCAAGCACACTATTTGACTGATGGAAGTTGGTTAGATGCAACTGGCAAGAAGTCTTAGAATTAGTTTTTGTGCTTGTTGGCAAGTCATATCTACAAACCCAAGGGAATGGTGTCCCCTTAGAGATCTGAACCCACGCCAACCGGTACTGCCGTCAGAGACGTCACTACTCAGTGGTAAGAGTGACGTGTATTCGAACCTTTCATGGGATACTAGTTTCTGTCAGGTTTTAGGCACGCCTTACTTACGATTGCCAATAAACGCGACACCTAAGTCCAGGCTTTGCTACTAAATATCTCCAACTAACTGACACTAAGCAAAATGCATCACGACCGTTAATCTGTTAGATTAGTGAACACACTGCTAAATGGTCAGTAGAATTCAGCCATAACTTAGGACTAGGCAACATGAAATTGGTTGCCCACCAGTGATCAATCAACGTATATTATTTGGCTATTTACCCACGGTATTAAAAAAACAGTTCATTTAATAGCTTTCTAATAATTCTAAGATATTCTTGTTTTTTAGGGTAGTATCCATCATGGACTGGTATCATTTGAAGAACCATTGAAAAAATGAGAGTAATGGACAGGTGTTTCGTCTTAGTACGGGACTTCTCAGCATTACGCACCGATGACATTCTCCTAGATCCATATGCCTAAGTTCTGTTGAGAAGCTATGACCAGTGAGGTCAACCGATAGGAAGTGAAGTGGATCCAAACTGAAAACCTTGGACGACAGTTGGACCATATCGTAAATTAGCCTTAGTAAGAAACTGTGGACCATTGGACTGGTACTTAGTGGCTGAAATGTTGACGCGTTTTCTGCGAAACCTGAAGGTCATGAATTCGATTCCTAGCCAGGTCATAAGTGCGTACTGCTGTGAAGTCCCATACTAGGATGAAACAGCTGTTCTGTATTTCCAGGTTGTCAATGGTTCTGCAACTGATATCACTACAAGATTGAATGTCACCTTAAAACTAAAATCCTCATTAACTTCAAAATAAATTCTTATATTATTTTGTAACTATATTTCAGTTATCCGTTGTCTTTACATGAGCCTAAATCATCCGTATTGTGATTTCTTTCTTATTCAAAAGTAATTACAGTGTAAAATTATCATTGATTTAATTTAAGGATTTAGTGGTTTTTTCAAGTTCGTATCCAGCATGGACTGACATCAGTTGTAGGAACATTGGAAACCTGGGAGCACTAGATAGCTGTTTCGTCCTGGTATGGGACTCCTCAACATTGCGCATCCATGACCGCACCAGAGATTGAAACCAGAACCTTCAGGTTCCAAGGCCAGCACTTTACTACTGAGCCAATGGGTTGAAACTCACTGGTTCATATTTCCAAATTCTGTCAGTTCACGACAAAGCGCAGCCATCATCCAGTGTCGTCGCTGAGTATTTGTCTTCACGGCAATCAGGTTGTAAATATGGATCAACGGATTTCAACCCACTGGCTCAGTAGTAAAGTGCTGGTCTTGGAACCTGAAGGTTCTGGTTTCAATCTCTGGTGCGGTCATGGATGCGCAATGTTGAGGAGTCCCATACCAGGACGAAACAGCTATCTAGTGCTCCCAGGTTTCCAATGTTCCTACAACTGATGTCAGATCATGGTGAATACTAACAGTGTTGATTTGTTGAGGTGTCAACAAACAGCTGATCATCAACTTGAGTGGAACCAATTCCAGCTACACACTTAGTCTGCAATTTACTAAAAATAAGTGTTACAACAACTCTGCTATTACCCATACGAGTTACAAATAGTCCATCAGTAATGCTCACTTGTAAACCCAGTAAGATTTTCGGTTGGAAGTTGACAGCCTCAAAACTAACACACCAACCTTGCATTTTGTCCCTACATTCTACGGTGCATATGGTTGACGAAAGCAATAAGACAAGCAGAAAAACTCCTACAGGATACTTTTAAAATAGTATATCCAGTTTACTTGAGGAAATATAACGAATTGAAATTTAACTTATACTGAAATATAAATCAATCAACAACAGTAATGTTGTCATAAAACATTCCACCTGGCGATGAGTAGTTATCATTCATATTTGACCAAGTGATGTTACTCCCTTGAAGTGGTTCGTTTGTTACTTCAAAAGAGTCTGCGACTTGAAAACCAGAAAGTTGAAAAGAAACAATCAGAGGAAAGTAAGCTATTCAGATTATGAGTTATTTCAGTGTTAGCGTGAATAATAAAAAAGGTCTGGCTCAGCTGTATTTGGAGTAGCCTAAATCTTGGTGTTAGTGAGACAAACGGTTGGACAGAGTTTATGCCAATCAACAGTCATCAGAAAGTTCTAGAAAGCTAAGTGACGCATCTACAAAGATACTTCATTTTGTGATGCAGCTTTGGTGTTTTATGTCTCTGAAACAGTTAACCGAATGGCAAAAGCCCAAAAATAGTTCAAAACCTTTAAAATTCATGAAGCATTAAGACCAGACAAACAAAATTCAAGTTACTTAAAGAATGGATAGGGAGGGGTTTCAGTGAATCTGTAAAGGTTCTCCCACAAGATATTTCATTAAGAGTGTATTCTGTTTGTAAGAAGCTCGAAATATTGAAATCTATGACTCACAGTCAAGAACAGTGGAGATTCAGATAAAGTACCTTTTCTTCACTACTAGAAAAAATACAAGTGAAAGTTAATGAAAAATTGCTGCAACATAATGAATATGCAATCAGTGTAGAGATATCCACGTAGCAACTATTATACCGAAAGATGTTGAACAATTAAACCCAGTATAGCAACGGGAAATCAATAAGTAACACATGATACCCCTTTCTCAAGAACTGTCTATGTTATCTCAGTGACCTAGTGGATAATACCTAGGTATTTGAAGACATCACTACTGGGTTCTAGTCTCAGTGGGGACACCACTGACTAGGCTAACGTCACATTTAACTGATGAGCCCAGAATAGGACAAAATGCCCTGTTAATTCCACTGTTAGGCACTAAGTAAACTACCACCTGATGATAAATTCTTAAGTATACCAAATATCAAGGCTTCTCAAGTCCATATTTACCAATTATTTAATTTTTTTGATTACAGAACAGTTTACCTGGTGATGAATTATTATAATTCATATTTGGCCATGTCATATTATCTCCTTGTGGTAGTTCGATTGTTGCTTGCGAGTAGTTTATTGCTTCAGTGTCTTAGTTTTGAAGAGAACAAAGCAAGAAAAAGTGACATTTGACGAAGTCTGAGATATTTTGGCGACAGTACGATCGATATTTATAATAATAAAACAATGAAAAAATATCACTTATCAACTGGCTTTTTATTGTAGTAAGGAAATAAGTGTAAACAGCTTAGTTTCATTTATTCTAGTATGCTTACCAGTTATACTGATGTTTGGGGGGCAGTTTCCCTTACGGTACTATTAGTTAGGTCCGTCACTCGGGTTCTCAACGTTAGTCATCATACTTTAGCAGAAAACAAATCAGATCTACAAGAAGCTCAATAACGGCAGATTGGATCGCCAATGAACTCTAAATAGTGTGAAAAAAGGCTTCAGAAGCTGTTTCATTACATCTAGGACATCATGTACCATCTCAATATGATTACTTTTGGTAGTTGATCAAATCAGCTTTTTGGTTTCAACGCTGCTACTGATAACAACGTTTTAGCATACTGCCTACTTATGAAAATGAAGAGCTTTTCATCTATGTGCCACTCATTTGTGAATCCTTACTCGTAAAGGTTTTATTTATTTGGTACCATAAAGAGTTGACTATATCTCCTGTTAGTCTCATCAACATATGATTTTTCAGTCTACCTAAGAAACAGTCGAGTACTTATTGTGCAATGATGGACATGAAATTTCAGTAGCTACCCATTCTCTTCAACCTCGCCCAGTTAACTAGTTCACTCATTACTAGCCGGTCCTAAGCCCGGGTAAAGAGGGAAGGTTGGGCAGGGGTCTAGCAACCCTACCTCGGGTAAACCAATACAACCGCTACAAAAACTTTAAAGCACAAACAAAATATAAAACATAAAAACAAAATTATTCCTCACTGGAATCGGAGAGACGAAATGATACCGGTTGGTGAAAGCCTGTCTTCAGGAAGCCAGTCGGCTAATGTATCTTCTCTCTCTTGTTGAAAGCGAAAGTAAGAATGGGGACATAGAATGTCCTCACCATATATGAACCTAGCAAAGCTGCTCAGACTGCAAAAGAGATGAGGAAGTATGGCATAGAAGTGATGGGAATCTGTGAGAAATCTGCACATGGAATGAAAGCAGACTCTTCAAACTGTCAAATGGAGAGTCAACAATTTACTCCGGTCACCTGGACAACAATCACGAGCACACTGAGTTTTGGAGTGGCTATCAGGATGTCTCCAAGAACATCGAAGGCTCTCATACAGTGGGAACCAATCTCCTCCAGGATCAAGATTATTACAACAAGATCCAACTCAAGAGGAAGGAAGGTCACAATCATCCAATGCTACGCTACTCACCTACAAATGATGCAGATGGAGAGAAGAGGGAGCAATTCTACTGACAACTGCAATCAGTAATGGACAAGACCCAACACCACTTGGCGACATAAAATTTCTAATGGGTAATATGAATGCCCAACTGGAGCCTGCAGCACAGGATAAGAACTCGCTATGGATCAAGAAGCACTCAGTGAAATGGATGAGAACGGAGAACTGTTTGCAGATTTCTGCGCATTCAACCATTTGGTGATTGGAGGCAGTGTGAACAAACACAAGGGTATTCACGAAGTGACATGGGTTTGATTTCACCAGATGGACACACTGCACTAAAAATCAGATCGACTTCATCTGAATGTGAAGAACGTGGAGACGCAGTCAGCCTACTGGACACAAGATCAAAAAGGGGGGGCAGATGTAGGTTCACGCTACTCACTATCTAGTGCAAGGAACCTGCCTTCAAAATCAAATCGAAAGCCTTCACAGAAGTTAGTGATAGGCCACAGTTCAAGTTCAACACCCAGAACAGAAACTGAACTGAAGGACTAAACTAAAAAGGGCATCTTCACATCAGCCGTCAGAACAAAATGGGAGACACTGAGCAACATCCCTGAAGGAACCTGCGTAGAAGAACACTGGAACTCTTTGAAATAGATGTGGAAGGAAACCCGCATGACCTTATTAGGAGGGAAGAGGAAACAAAACAAGGAATGAATGTTGACGCATACATGGAAGCTGATAGAGCAGGAATAGGAAGATGGTGATGGTGAAGTAGAAGATGAACCAGTGCAGCGCAGGGCAAGGATGAACAACGAAAAGAGGGACTAAATACAACCTATAAAACAGTGCACAAAGAAGTGAAGAAAAATGCAAGGAAACACAAAAGAAAGTTCTACGACACATTGGCAAGTGAAGCAGAACAGGATGCTGGCAGGAGAGACCTGACAACACTATATCAAATAACCAGGTTACTATCGAGAAAGAGACCAACACCGGTGAAACCAATGAAGGATAGTAAGGAAAACCTAGCTACCAAAGAGGAGAAACAAAGGAAACAATGGACTGACCACTTCCAAAAACTCTTGAATAGACCACCACCACCACCAACTGCAACTCGTCCACGAATACCACAAGCAACCCCAGAATTACCAGCGAACACAATCCCTCCGACAAAAGCCGAAATGAAGTCCTGAACATCATAAAGTTGCTGAAATGCGGGAAAGCATCAGGACCAGATGGAATTCCGCCAGAAGCGCTGAAAACAGACGCAGGGGTAACAGCAGACATACTCACACCACTACTGCAGGAGGTTTTCCCGAGGAAGGAAGGAAAGGTACCTACAGATTGGAAAAAGGGTTACCTTGTCAAACCTCCAAAGAAGGGAGACCTAAGTCTTTGAAAGAATCAGCGAGGAATCATGCTGCTGTCCACCCAAAGCAAAATATTATGCCGCATCATCTTGGAAAGACTGAAAGATGCGCTGGACCCAAAATTACGACCGAAACAGGCTGGCTTTAGGGAAAACAAATCATGTGGGAATCAAATTGCAAAGCCATGCAATACATAACCATAGAACAGAGCATAGAATGGCAATCGACTCTCTACCTTAACTTCATCCACTCTGAAAAAGCCTTTGGCAGCGTCGACCAAGAAGTAATCTGGTAGGCAGCTGCTTCAACACTACGGTTTAAGTGCCACAAACCTTTATAAACCTCATCCAACAACTATATGAAGACCCCACATGCCAAGTGATTCACAATGGAAAGCTCAGTGATGCCTTTAAAGTGAAGACAGGAGTTAGACAAGGTAGCCTACTACGATCCATGATCTTCGTGATTATGGTCGACTGGATCATGCAGGAAACTCTGGAGATCGAGAAGATGGGCATACACTGACTGGACGGATGCTTCATTGTGATGGTTGAGAGACTTGGAGCGTTACAAAAAGCATTTCCAACAAACTATATACACTCATCAACAGCTGCCGCTTACGCTCAAGCGATACTGAAAATCAGATGGATGAGCAGAAACAATAAGCAACAAAGAACTCTGGCTGGGAACGAACCAACCAAGAACCCATCGTCAAACAAATATGCAGAAGAAGGTGGAGATGGATTGGATTGGACATACACTGAGGAGACCATTCAGAGACATCACGTACCAGGCCCTCGGGTGGAATCCAAATGGGAAACGACGAGTTGAGCGTCCAAGGGTGACATGAATGAGATGGTATGAGGAAGAAATGAAAGCTTCTGGGCAGTCATGGAGCAAGATTCAACAGACTGTAGAGAACAGAGTGAAATGGAGACGTACTACTGAAACCCATGTTCCACTAGGAACCCAAGGGACAAATAATAATAATAGTAATAATACCCATTCTCTTCAATACACTTAATATGATCATTTTCAGTTTCATTATCATAAATTCTAGAAGTACCAAACAGTCTTTAGCTGTGAACACAGTATCAAAAATGCAACCAAATTCAAAGTCGCTTAAGTTCAAACAGATTTTGTCTAACCTATTGTGCATTATTCTAAAGTAAATATTATGTATGCTTTTGTTCGAAAACCTTCATTCAAGGAAACTGACCTTGTAGTCTGGTATCCACTGTCTTGTCTTGCTTTCCACTCACTAATAAAACACAAATGCCGGAGGTTTCCTTCTTGGCAAAATTCTCCCATTTCCGAATCATCAGAAGCTTTTGATGCTCCTAAGATTTTGAGATGAAAGAGAATATTTTGTTGCTCAAGGGGATAGTTTTGATGGTATTGTGTTCAAATCCAGCTAAGAGAACACAACACCATCAAAATTAGCCTTCTGAGCTATAAATATTCTCTATCATCTCAAAATAAATACCGGAGAAATGCATAACACAGGTTCCTCTTAAGCTTGAGATGAGATTAGTTTCGTTGTACATCAAACAAACACCTGTTCACTGATAAGTAACTCACGACATACGCAGTCATTATTTTTATTCAGATAAGCAATAACTCAGTCAGTTGACCAGATGTTCTGTATTTTGACGTTCATCCAGCAAGGGCATGATATCAGTCAACCATTCTAACTTAACGACTGAATAAGTTTAGCGTAAGAAATGCAAATCTTCGTAGTCCAGTATTCCTTTCATTTGCGACAAGCTAAACATTTTCTTTAATAATGTAGTAGACAATACAACCCTTCATATCATTAGAAGTTTCTGTGACACAACTTCCTTCATATCACGTTTACACCACTGATAATCAGGAACTTTTTTACCAAAAGTGATGTCGAAAACACAATGCCACATGCACAAGAGGTGGCTCACGTTCCCCAATGACCTAGTGGATTACCTTTTGGCATTTGATCGAATGGCTACAGCGTTCGAACATCAGTGGGAACAAGATCACTCACTGGGGTGTAGGTACGTCCGGCTGATGAGTCCCAAATAGGGTTGAACACGCGTCCTCGATTCTACTGCGAGTCACTAAGATTAACACATTATGAATGACTGACAGTATTGAGGTGTCTGCATAGGAACTCATCTGCCAAGAGAGGCCGAGCGATTCAACCCTGTATAGCAGTGGGGAATTACAAGTGTCAAACAACAATGACACATGCAATATTTGTCGAACAACACATCTTCTTAGTGAATGAGAAACATTGAAAAAGTGTAGTTATACCTGGATCAGTCCTGACACTGCATATGTCAGTCGCTTTGGTTTATAATATAAGTGTATTACAGTTGATCAAGTCCGTAGAACGTTGCACATCTTGATTTTAATCAAACATAATTCAGCTTAAACTCCTCCTTTGTCTTTTTTATCTCTTTAGCTGAAGAAAAACAACTTCAGATAATAAAAAAACTCACGCACCTGAAAGGCCATTTATCCCAAATGAAAATGCAAAACGAATTGGTTGACCATTCATTAAACTTTCTGTAGAGCTTTTCATTCCATTCATAAGAATATTTAACATATCATTAAGTGAAAAGTCAATGTTTACAGATGTATCAAATGTGAACAAGGCTTCAGATATGATGGAGCCTTTCTTGAACTGCAAAAATGTACATTCAGGTTGTTGTAGTTTACTGACATTTGACGCTTGGAATGCATGAAGTAGCTAGTTTTAAATGATGAAAAATAAGAAGATACAGAGTTTATTGAGAAAGTGTGAAGCAATAGTTGAAGACCTATATTTCAGGCCTTCGAGTTATAACTCATTTAAGAGTGAAAATTTTGCATTTTCACTAATATGGATATCCGTAATTCTAAAGAAATAGTTGGCAGGATACCCTTAACCTATTTTGTGTGAATAATGAGAATGGACACAAACTTATTACTGGATGATAACCGATTCACCTATCAAATCCTAAGTTCTCACTACTGATACAAACCTGTTGATCAAATTCGCAACGTGATCACCAGCCTAAGTTACTGGACAGTATTTTGAACTGTGGCTTGGTGTTAGATGTAAGCAGTCACTGAGCAAGGCTTCCTGCTGACTGACTCCACTAGCTATTTTCTGCAGATTAAAAACTTAAGCTCCTTTAAAAAGGGAATCCTTACAGATATGTAATACAATCTAAGGTTTTCTTGTCGATTTCTTTATTTGTGTATGTTCTCCAGTCCTACATTAGGCCAGTCACAATTTAACTTCTCTAACAAATGCAACTAGAAGCATAAAGTTAAATCTGTGATAATGCTACACATTTGCTTTACTGATTTATACCAGCTAACGCGAAACTTATGTATGGATCTCTTTTGAAAAGTCATGAGCTACGAAGCACACCATGGTACACTGGAGTATCGAAATAAATTAATTAACAAAAAGATAGATAACTTCTAGAGGGTACTTACAAACTGACAATACGCTTCAGATAACAGTTGGTGCATAGCAGACTGAGGATCACTTAGACTCTCATCCCACTCACGAGGATTCTCGTTATCATCGTAGATTACAGCCGAAATCAGAATTGTATTATTATCTACTCAAAATGAAAAAAAACTCCAATGTGATGATATGTTACAAAAAGTAATATATATTCAACATTGAGTGAATACTATTCAAACGAGTTCTAGCAGTTAGACGTCAGTAATGGAGACATAAACCTATTTCACTCTTTTACAAACCCGCAAATATTCAAAGCTTATAATATATTTTCACAGTTTAACGTTAAGTCAATTCTAAATTCTAACTTGTGACTGATTTGAAAAGAAGCTGTTTGATTTTCTAATGACAAGTCATGACTTCTATGCCATAGCATACTGTATTGGGTTAGGCACATGACTTTCAAAGACTAGATGCTGAGTACAAACCCAACTCCGACGTCTTCGTCCTAAACAGCTCTTTGGTATCACTTGGTCTACTTCGTCGCCTTTTACATAAAATTTCATTGAATTTCTGAGTTACATATTAAATATGTGGCTTCTATAATCAGTTAGAACAATATTGATACTGGATGATGATTGAAGATGAAATGAAAATTTGGACCGTAGCGGAATTTGAACTAGCGGCCACCGGGTTTGTGGCCCAGTGCTACGAGGCCCAACTTCTGGTTTGAGTCCCACTGCAGTCCAAATTTTTTTTTCACTTTTAATCATCACCCAGTATCAGTACTAGTTTGCCAAACCATGGCTAAATGAGATAGTCAAAATGATAATTATAACAGTAACAAGTTTTCTCAGCGGTGATTGAAAAAAGACGATCATTTGAAAGATATACTTATGCCATTTATTTGTAGGCATCTAAAGATTAATAAAAAACAAAATTTCCTAAAAGCTAGTTTTATCTCCATAAGCAGTAAATTTTAGTAGATTTTCACTGATGCCTTCACTTTCTCTGAATGATGAATGACATATAGACCATGAGTACTTTTAAGTAAAAACAAAAATAAACTGCCCCCACAGAGACGTGAAACGTATTTCAGTGGTCAATGAGCATTTCTGTTGCCAATGAAACAGAAAAAGGCTTTCAGTATATTAATACAACATTTCTTGAATTCTGGCGTCCTTGTTGATTGCATCAGGTGTAAAGTAACTTATATCATAAGTGGATGCAAAGCCAAATTTGGTAAGTGTCCAGCGGTAGGTTTAAACATTTTTTCAGCGGAATAGAGGTGGATTTAAAATGCTCAGAGGTCACGAAATCGTGTGAATAAGTACTATGAAGTATAATCTGAATCTCACTGGTCGCTTAACTCTCAAGTTCAACTTATGTAACAATATATTGTGCATGCTTATCGAAACACGTTCACCATTTTTCCAAAATCAAAATGTGTTCTTCTTCCTTGCAAAAGTTGTGTAACCTGTTCCAAACAGAGCAAGTATGGGGATTCAAAACTCAACAGGCCAGTGATGAATATTTCTGTCTTGGACTTACCTATGGTTATCTACACAGTAAATATTACGGATTATCTGTAGTTCAGGATACTATTATTTTGACCGAAAAATTCTTTGACAAGAAAATTTTATTGACATAACTTTCACTTATATCTTGCTCATTATCTTCAGTACCGTTTCAGAATTTTCATTGAAGACTGTGGTTCATACCTACGTCTCAAAACAGTACCATCTTACAGGTAGTATCCATCAGAATAAATGTAAGTAATTCAACTTCATACCATAATCACACTCTGTGTACCATTATTCGATGCGCCTTGAGGCATCATTTCTACACCTTATGAATAAAAAGGGTTTGTTAACATCTAGAATCAAATCAGATGTTTGCAAAATAAAGTCATCTGAGAGAGTGACCCAACCAGGTGGCTTTCAAAAGAAACTAAAATGTTCAGACACTAAAAGAAGTGTTAGAATTTCTGTTGTGAAAGCTACACGAAATACACTGCTGACTGATATCAGTAGATTCAGACAACTCACATCAATAAGCATTACCTCCCATCGAGGTCAAAAGAGAGAAATGAATATCCAATGTTCACATAACTCTATGTGCTTGGCAGTCCGTATTGATTGAGGCAATTAGTCTGTAAATATTCATGCCAGTTAGAATTACATTTCAAACAGTCTGAACCAATTTTTGAAATGAACATAGTCTTTATGGTTTATCAATATATATTTACCAAGGTTTACAGTTCAACCAATAGACCAATTCATTAAAAATTACTGTGAATGATTTTCAACTTCACTAGTTTAGAATAGGCATCCAAACTTCGTTTTTGTTTCTTTTCTTATTAGAAACTATTGACAAAATTAGGATACAATGAGGAATCTGAGAAGGATCATGATTTTCTTTAAGGTTTAAAGCATTTCTAGTTTCAAAACATCTAATTAGTATCAGGGTTATATTCAGAGCTTGTTCTAGAAGTGTGAATTTATCCAGAGAATAAGGCTTTTAGTTAATCAGTACATTACTTAGTACTCATATTAGTCCTCGAGGAATGCATACCAGTAATACAGAAACACTGATGTGACCGTAAAAGTAGCTCACATTACTGTCTTATCTCTAAGGGACGCGAACGATGGATACCCTTTCGGAAAAATTAGTTTACATAATAATATATATACTCTGTTTAAACATTTTTTGAAGCATACCATTAGTTGGTATTTTTTTAGTTGGTAATGAAACACCACGCTTATTCAATCGAGTAAATTTACTAGATATTAGTGTTGGAATATCTCCATAGAGTTGTATATTAATTTGTGGTATTCGTAGAAAGCGATGATGAATTTCTCCTTCAGCACTTTCAAAGAAATAACTTGTTATGCACAGAAGTGTCCAAAAGATACACAGAATAAGTTTTAACAGTTTATCAGCGGAGAAATACATACTGTTAGTATGCTAAAACAAGAAAAAGTATCAGATTATAAGTATAAAACTGCAGGTTAAAACAGATAAAATGTAATGATTCTTTATATAGCACGATATTTTTGTGTTGACTTAAGTTAAAAAGAATTGATACATCAAGTTACTTTGAATAAGCATTTTGGTGTACAATTTAAACATGTAGTACATCATAGAAAATTGATATTTACCCAGGTAATCACTTCAAGTTACCTTTCATATCCAATTTATGCATAAAGGATTTTGATAATAACCTTCAGAAGAGAACTTCATCTCGAAGAAAGAATTTAAACTATGGATTTCACAGGTCACTGGATTCTTTTTCAATCCAGAACCTAATGTACACTAATGATGTAAACAACGCTAATATTCAATCAACATACAAACCAGTTAAGCTATGTATAAAATATAGGTTTCAGCACTAGAAATTTACTTTTACTCGAATATAGATATTTTGTCAATATTGAATTCACCTAAACAAGTATGTCTGACCAAAGACCTGAAATGATTGATTTCGGAATAAGCCGCAGTGTAAATATACACAATTTCACTCGCGTATTCATCTTTGTCAACTTTAAAAGAGTAGGAACAAACATTCAAGCAGAATAATATGATACACTTTATTATTCCGTTGGCTGTCATCAGCTGCTCACAACCTAGAATACTTACGATAACAAATTACAACGAAATATTAACACACTTTGGTTTAGTGAAATCAGTCACAACCTCATAGCGATATAGAGAAGTAACGAAACTGACTTTATTTCACTTTGGGAAGTTTCCTTCCTTCGCTATCAGAGTCCTGTTTTGACTGATCCCATTGGACTAAAGTATGTTAATATTTTACCGTAATTTGTCATTGTAAATATTAGAGGTTGTGAGCAAATGACCAGAACCACCGAAATTATAAAGTGGATCATACTATCCCTCTTCAGTGTTTGTTCTTACTCTTTTAAAGTATACATATAACTTCATCTCAACTCTATAGTTCATACAATACTGTGTAGGGGCTTTTGTTAAACAGTTATCATATAAGAGGTTTACGTAACCATGATAGCCTACTTTTGACTTACTAATCTTTACAGCATTCTTAACTATTCAAAGGATAATGGTTGCTTGGTCACTAGTATATGACTCAAATCTCCGCCATTAATGACTTTGTATATGAGTCATTTACTTTTTGTGACTTTTAATTTATGATTCTTTTTATTGTTGAGATTTGACTGCACAAGTACATAAATAGAAAACATCTAGGCAAATCATCACTCATTTCCATACGATAATTAAGGATACTAAACCTTTGATATATCAGTTCTCTGAATCTCACTCATTCTGCTACGTAGATATTGCATTCAAATAATTCATACACTACATACCAAATTTGGATGAGATGCAGATCATTAACGTAGCTTTGCTTCACAACCAACAATTCATCTAAAGCACTTACTGCTTCTCTTCGAATGCTTCTAATTAAAGTCTGGGAAACCTTTACTTCACCTTAATCCAGTGACTTTAACATTTCAGGACGGAAAAGGAAAGTAATGTATTGTGAATCAAAAATTTATAGTCAAAACTTTTTGTCGCATATTAGTTGCACAGTTAAAGAGGCAAATCGTTTGAATATATTCCTAACTCAGTTAATCTCGATGGTGAAGTTTTTCTTTCATTGTGACATACCACTAGATGTGAAAACTGTATATCATTCTCTCATCAAATAATCTCTCATCTTCAAAAGCTACACATAGACCATTTGATGTGCCCTAAGAAATGGAAACAAACCTTATTTAAGATATTCCACCACTTACTTTCACTTAATTCATATGAGAAAAATGTTGGTATCATAAACATATTGACCAATTCAGCAACCTGGAGATTTGCATCCGTTCCTATGGGCTAGCTGCTGAAGAAATCTCATCATATATGTGAAGTGATTATTCGACTTCAGCTAGTCTACGTCGTCTGTGGTGCAAGCAAGACAACCAAATGCCCTTAAGGAGCTGGTGAAGAGAATGGCTGTGACCGCTATCTTACTATACGCATATGCTAGGCTGTCATTTAGGGTTTTATATAAGCATAGGTAATAGGTACTGACTTGCGTACAGTTTCTTTTTAAAGCATGGCTTCTGCATACTAGATTTACCGACTAAAAATTGCTGATTTCAGACATACATTGCTAGGAAAATGCGGTAAACCAAATGATTAGATTATTGACATTCTTCGACTGAGATGGTCTGGACTTGCACTGAGTTACTCTAACCACTGCAAGCCTCAGGCTATTATGTTAGCAGAATATTTAATGGGAAGCAGTTGAGTAGTTTGAGACATGACGTATCATGTTTTATTTGGACACCAGATTTTATTGTAAACATATCTTGATAACGTCTGATTTCTATTTCAGAAAAAGTAGTCTGTTTATTGATAGCGGTGAGGTTAATACTTGCTAATAATATAAAGGTAAGATGAAGGTTAGCAGTCAGTTCAATAAATTTCAATCCACAAAAGTAAAACTGCACTCTTATCTGCTTCCACAAAAACAGTATAAACTTTGGTAACTGGAGAGAACTATGTATCTTTGTTGTGCTACTCTGTGGATACAGTGTCATATCAGCTGAATAACAATATGCGGTTTTATATCATTTAAAAATTAATACTAAAGGTCATCTATGATCTTACAAATCACTAAACATTTCAAGAAATTAATCGCCCAGTTTACTACTTAACAGCTTTGTACACCAGTTTAATGGTAGCTGTTGTTTGGTGTTATACATTTGGAGTCAATCCGTAGGAAGTCGTAAATTTAAGTTTCGTAATTCCCAGCTCTAGGTAGCAGTACATATACAGAGATTTGTTGAGGCTTGTTTACCCGTAAAATCTCTGACCTTCCGACTCAGTGATACATTCTTTTTTTCATAACATCAAAGAGGTCTTACTGAGAGATGTCAACGTGTACGAAATTTAAGTCCAAGGTTTCCTACCGGCCAACTACAAGCACTAAAATTTGTTTAGTCTTGAACAAAAGTTTCACAATACAAGCTTGAGTATACTCAAACTGTGAACTGAAGGACATTCACACCAGCTATTGGAGTAGTGACTTAGTTTATATAGACTACGATTTTCTAAATTCTAATCACTGAAGCAAGTGACTGGAGAATCATTTTAGTGTTCTGACCAAGTTGTCCACAAAAAGTCGAATTTAACATCCTGAATTTCCGTTGAATTAGCATAAATATATAAAAAAATTTAGCGCACACTTGACAATCCCAGAAGTAATATACAGGACATGAGTAAAACTTGGGTAACCAAATAGAATGTGATTCTGTTGCTTTTGACTTATTAAGTATATCACACTCCACAACTTGTGAAGAAACCTTGTATAAATTTGGACAGTAAACTGAGTCCAAACAGGACCCAGTAAATAGTACTGTTTCACTGACAAATTAACTGAAATGGTATTAACAAAAAGTGTTTGAGAACAGGACCTAACTTGTTCTCTTCTGTAATTAAAATTATATAAAATAATGATAGTGGTTATTTGACAGCTAGAAATAGTTGTATTCTATAGGTTAGGCAACACAAATTGTCTATCTGGTTATGTATTTAGGACCTTGAAACTCAGCATCTTTTGATAGACTGCTCGATCACAACTAAGGACCTATACCTCCCGAAGATTGACTGGTGTATACATCTTCATCCTATTGGTCTTAGTATAAGGCCAGTAGGGGTTTGAAAAATTGAGTAATAATATCGACAAATTAAGAACTTAAACTCTACTATTTTGAATTATATGGCCGCAAACGCTGCTTACCTAAATGTCTCAAGCATGATTTTATTTATAACTAGTGTCCCGTAGAAATACCCAAATTCTTATCAGCTTATTCATATCCACTGAAGACACTTACTTTCTTGCTTTGACACTGTCTTGAAGAACGTAATTAAACTACCTTCCTGAAATGTCTGGTAGGTGGATAACGACGAAACTTTTCTGATAATGTGGTAAGCAATATGCGAAGTCTATACTCTTATCACACAGTATAACACTAGTCTAAACACAGATTTTATTAAACTAACAAATAAAAGAGTATGGCACATTATCCAACCACATTTTTCTTTAAAATACATAAATTGAAGTGAGCTAGGAGAAAGATTTACTTACCTATTCAAAAATGATTATAATTCAGTAAAAATATTTTAGTGTTTACTTTGTGAAGCTTAGGTTTTAGGAAACTTAACGACACTACGCATCACTTCTGAAATAAATATCCAACACCTTACGTATTAGTATCATATGACCTTAAGTACAATTATGTCTACTGAATATTGAAACTAAACAGATAGTAAACTAAAAACGAAACAAGTGCATATAATCTAAGGTCGTTCGGATATTTTTATTATCTACTTCTTGTTTTAAAGGTAGCTCGATGTCTAAAAGAAAAGGACAACTCGCAAACTAATAGACTGCTACCATTCTTCTAGTAAATGTTTGATGCAATTGGTTGCTTAACAAAATATTTCTCTGTCATCATTTCATTTACGACTAAATGTCTCAATACTGGTAAGTTGTGTATTAACTATCACCAACGAAACTTCATTGTGGTGCTGTATACTTCATCCAGGTTTCACTGACTGGTTTATAAAAATTTACCTCTATGTAGTAAATCAAAGCTTAGTTCTAACTACTTGGAAGCTATGAACCCCATTATGAATGACAGTCTTACGTATGGAAAGATTAGCAATAAATATTTGAAGTTTTGTTGTTTTTTTAGGCTAAGTTTTCGGTTGGTTTGTTCCAGTGTCACATAGCTTCAAGGATGACAGTATCCGTCAAAACATTGAAATGTACAGTAATCAAGACCTTCAGTCATAAGACAATTTAGTATAACTAACGGGGATGTATTTACCAAAATCTTTGACTTTAAGCTAGGGAAAGTTTTTCTCTGAAGGTTGATAAACCGCACAGCTTAAATATCTTCGTGTTATGATATTAT